ATTCTATTAATTCTATTAATAACCTATTGCTAACTAAAAGTATACGGCTCCATCAAGATCCTCCTCGCCTACGACTGTCCGCCGTAACAATGACAGAAATGTTATTTTGCTTTTGACGAGTGTTTGACAACAGACACAAAAACATATCAGGGGGATGACACACACGCACAAAGTGTTCTGAGACTAAGAATAGCGATAAAGAGAAGGGGAGACCATATCTGGTATAACATTTACGAGATTCACGGAGGGAAAGAGTCGCATCGTCTCAAAGGACAATGTCTTATTTCACACACCCGTTATGAAGGCAAGAGTTGGGAATTCAGAGACAGGCCAATAGGGAGTTTGTCATCCATGTTATCTGAAGCCTGTTACACTGCATTTCTGGTAAATTTGTGTTACTCACAAACACACAGCGAGAGACTGTAAACCAGCCTCACTGAATCATGCAGCGTCTGAGGCTGACAGCCTAAACAACATACTTGCAAACAGAAGGTTTCTCTCAGTGATGTGAGATTCCTCTCATGAATGCAATGAAATAGACCAACATGATGCATAATGGTGATTTTATATGAACTGTTATCAAATTAGGTAATAGATAACAGTGGTTAAGGGCTTAGAAGTAAAAAGGGACTGGCAAATGTGATGAACCATCGCAATATAAACAATGACAGATGGAGGGTTACAGTGAGAAAAGCTCTGACCTCGATGCCGAAATTCATAATTGGTCTCATTTTTCGATGTTTTCTGACTAGCCGGCAGTTAATTTGACCCTATAATCTAACAAGTGGTGTTTTTTTTTTTACTATTAGTAGCCTACATTGAGAATAGCTCTGACCTTGGAGCCGGATATTATTAATCGGTCTGATCTTGTCTGTGTTTTATCACTAACCATCCAGTTTTGTTTCCACCCTCAAAAAGGAGTCTGAAATGTAGCAATGTGGTTTTAATAGCTTTGTGGATGACACATAATAGGACGACCCACATTAGTGTAGCTGCAAATGAATGCGTGTGTGTTTTGTGTGTGATGTTTTATTACCGCATCAAAGTCATTGTGTCGGTGCCATCAGAACAGCGTTTAATCATTTATACACAGGATCTCTTTCGGATATGCCTAAAAAAGATTTGCATTTCACAGACGGACGTTGTATTTATCCATTCAGCCTTTCGGGTGTCTAAAGCAACAAAGGAGCACCCGAGCTCATCCTTCCGGCAAAGACTCTTTTATTATTAATGCAATTGATTTATCAAAGCAAAACTTCTGTGTCTGAAAAGAAGCTTCCACGACGTTCTAGACAGCCATTTCATCAGTGGCAACTAACAGATGTTTGCTGTCAGAAAGCATTTGATCAAGGAGGAAACACTGAGATACATTGTGAAAATAAATCGCTCATTATATGTTCCTTAATTAAACATCTTCATCTTCCTAATATGTTTTGTTGATCCTGGAACAACATTCCTGTAGAAAAATGTTGTCCATATAACTACCCCTAAACCTTAACCTCTCCCTAAAATTAGAAATGAATAATGGTGATGGAGAAGCACCTATCCTGGTTGTAAGCCTAAACTTGTCCCTTAAATCTGATTGGTTGATTGTAATGTTGTTCCAGGATCAGCAAATGAGGATCCAGGAACATGTTGCACTTGGTGAAATCCGTTTTTGTAATTTGGTGCTCAAGACACAGATACTGTTTCATAATATGGTATCATATGCCAAGATATTGTGTGCGATAATCAGAGTTGAATGGTAAACTAGTCTCGCAGCCAAATTCGTGATTCCCACAGGCAGCTATTTTTCAGACTTGAATGGGAAAAGAATGAAATCTGTGTAACTGTTTGTTCAAATTGTGTTTCAAATTACATATTTCAAATCAGTAATAATAATAATGAATTGTGTTTCTTATAACAAATCAGTCAACAAAATTGTATTTTTCAGAATGGTCCAGCAAATGCAAATTCATATTGTTGAATAAATAAATGTGATTGGCTCTTTTAACTGTAAAGATGTGGTCACATGCAAATTATTCTGGGTTAAATCCAGTGATTTCAACAGGAATTCAAAAAACAAGCAATTCGAAAGATTTTACACATCAGCGGGGGTTCAATTGGTCTTGTGGATTCACCGCAGTGACGGAAAGAAATCAGTTTGGGTTTGTTGTAACTATTGACAGTAGACAAAGGACTTTTCGGCTTGCAAAACTGTACAGAAATGTTGCTAAAGTTGCAGCATGCACCTTCATTTCTTAAACAACCATGAAGGAAGGCACATCATTGGCATATTCCAGGATGACAATGTCACGATTCATCAGGCTCAAACTGTGAAAGAATGATGTAGAGTACAGACCTTAAATTCACTATAAGACTTTTGGATGTGCTGAATCCGAAAAAAAGGTACAAAAGCTGTCATTGTGGCTGTACCTTTTCAAAAGGTTCACTTTTGTACCTAAGGGTGCATATTGGTACCTTAATGGTACATATTAGCACTTAAAATGTACCATTAAGGTACCAATATGTACCCTTTAGGTACAAAAGTGTACCTTTTGAAAAGGTACAGCCCCAGTGACAGCTTTTGTACCTTTTTTTTCTGAGAGTTGCAATGTCCATAAAAGATCTTGACCATAAATGTATTCTTGATGGTGATAGCATCACAACATTTATTTCCATCAAAAGGCGCATCATTTTTTGCTCAAGATCTTGATCTATTGCCAAAGATATAACATTCTAGAAAGATAATAATCACTTCAATAATGATCCGATCATAGACTCTTCAACATTAACCGATTTAAATCCAAACAGTGATTTTTGTTTTGGTTTTTTTTGTCCGGGCAGTGTATTTGTGCAGTAGGCTGCCATTCTAAATTTTGTTTAAAAGAAAATGCTGCTGCAACACTATACGACGAAAACAAAATGGATAAATTATGCTTCAAATGTTCAATTTTCATTAAATGTGTCCTCTTTGGATTCATTTGATCAAATGGAATATGATGATATCCATTATTTTCCACACAATGGCTTTGTCTGTCCACCATTGTGAATTTAAAACTTACACTTTCTAACTATTTAAACATTCCAGGAAGGTTAATGTTGACATTCAGCAAATAATAATATCATAAGGAAATTTCAAGAATGTTGTTCTAATGATATTTTCTGTCAACATTATGAGAAGTGGGTTAAAATTAATAACATTACAATGTTCTGATAATGTTCTCAGAACAGCACCATAAACACATTCCAAGTTATGAATATTAATAATTATATTAATAATAATTATGTTATATTAATAATGTTAGAAATGTTAGGCTATTTAAAGAACGTTTTATCTTACATTACATTTAAAAAAAATTGTGAATGAACGTTCCATGTTAGCTACGATTCCACCATATGAACAACTAGCATTTTTTACATACGACGTTTAAGCACACCATGACTGCCTAATAACATGCTAGTATAGCATAAAGTTTGTTATTGCCCTTACTGCTTACAAAAGATATTTAAATAACAGCACTTTCAAAAGTCGTATTCTCCGCGTATGTTCCAGCCTTACCTGTCCAAACACTGAGCTGAGGTATGGGCGCAGGTTGAAATCCGCTTCAGAAGATGCTGCGCTGGACCGCCCTGATCTCCGGGAGGAGCGGCTGGAGGATGCGGGCACCGGCGAGGATGAGGCGGTGGAGGGGGGACACGCCTCTCTGCTCGCTGACGACCCCGGTCGAGTCAGACGTGGTGACTCAAAAAAGAGAGCCGTTTCGTCCCTGGACTCGGAAAAAGACTGAGTTCTGGTGGGCATGCGAGCGGCGTGAGAGTGTTTGGGTCGGGGCTCTTGGGGCAGGTCGTCCCGGGTGGACCGGTGGTGGTGATGGTGATGATGATGACGATTATGATGATGATGATGGTGCCGTCTGACTGTCCTTCGTTCCCTTCCACCTGGAAGCTCTGACAGGTCTTCCTGACTGTGAGCCGTTGAAAGAGCGTGTCCATGGGAGTGGGAGTATTGTGGGTGGCTCTTCTCTGCGCTATTCCGGGTACCGACCAGTGAGGGGTGACACAGGGGTCTCCGCGAGCTCGCATCGCCGTCCCCCGGCTCCGCTCCAGATGCCGCCGCGGATCGCTGATGGTGTGTCCGCCGGGCTCCGGGATGATCGTGAGGCTGAGCCGCGCTTCTGGCCGGTGCGGAGGATCTCAGTAAAGAGGTCGTCGATTCGCTTTTGGGGAGCGTGAAACTCATCCTCAGCTTAGTAAAATGCCCTTGGAGGTAAAGGCTGAACTCTGAGGTCACTCATTATTACCGTTTGAATAGAATAGCCCAGCGTTGAGTGCTGAGAGTACATCGGCACCTCCTCGATGGCATGTTGAAACGATGCTGTCGAGATCTCCTCTCTGAGTTGGTGCCACCTGATTGCTCCGTATAGAGCTATTCTGGTAGGACGCGTAGGTAAGGGGAGATGGGCTCGGAAATAAACCAAAAAAGATTGAGAGAGAGAGAGAGAGAGAGAGAGAGAGAGAGAGAGAGAGAGAGAGAGAGAGAGAGAGAGAGACACGTGGAACGTATGGTGTGCATCATCACATGTGGGTGACACAACACAACATGCAATGTATGGACCAAAAACTTGTGAAAAAAGGATCCCTCTCTCATTTTCCATTTGTGATATTTTGTTAAGGATACTTCATATGCATAAGAGAGTGGGATGGATTTAAATACTAATTCATGTTAATCAATGTCCACCCCTTATGGACATAATTAAAGACTTTCCTAAACACATTAAATATTAACCTGGTTCATAGAAGCAAAGCATTATTTATGTATATTCGGAGGTAACTTGTTTAAAGATAATATATATTGCCTATAATAGTTTGCATGTTTATGGAAAATATTTAATATTTAATAAGGCCCTAAGGTAAACTTTGAAGTTAGACAAAATATAAATAAAGTTTACAATGCATGTAAAAAACAAAACAAAAAAAAACATGTATTCAATAGCTTATTCAATTATGTAAACTTCTGAGGTAACAGGTTGATCAGATGAAATGTAAATAAAATCATTTATAATTTATGTCCTGACACTGTAAAACTGAAAATGCTTTTTCTATTCAATAAAATTGTGGCAACAGATTACAAGAAATATTATTATTTAAATTGAACAAATTTTAATTGAGTAATCATTAAACAAACTATTCCTTAAAAGTTAACAATTTTAAATGAGTAAAGTTTACACCAAAAAATAAACAAAAATATCTGAATAACAGACAGACATCAAAGATTAATTGAGAACTCTTTATTTTATTTTGCCAAACATTGAAGACACCTGATGTTAACAAGCAGAATCACTGAAGGAGAAAACCTTAATTTTATAACACCTAAAACAAACACTGATCACCATAATGGTGACTTAAATGTATTTTTTTTTATGTTTTACTAATTTTAAATGGTTAACTTTTAAGGAATTAATTTGATTAATTATTACTCAATTCTAATGTGTTACATTGAAATAATAATATTTCTTGTAATCTGTTGCCACAATTTTTTTGATTAGATAAAGCGCACTCTCAGAAAAAAAGGTACAAAAGCTGTCACTGGGGCTGTACCTTTTCAAAAAGTACACTTTTGTACCCAAAGGCTGCATATTGGTACCTTAGTGGTACATATTATTGCCTAAAATGTACATATTAGCTCATGAAATGGACATATTAGCACCTAAAATGGACATATTAGCTCATGAAATGGACATATTACCACCTAAAATGGACATATTAGCTCATGAAATTGACATATTAGCACCTAAAATGTACATCTCAGCACCTAAAATGTACATATTAACAATTAGAATATACTTAATTAGCACCTAAAATGTACATATTAACACTTAAAATGTACATATTAGCACCTAAAATGTACATATCAGCACCTAAAATGTACATATTAGCACCTAAAATGTACATATCAGCACCTAAAATGTACATATTAGCACCTGAAATGTACATATCAGCACCTAAAATGTACATATTTACACCTAAAATATACATATTAGCACCTGAAATGTACATATTAACACTTAAAATGTACTTATTACACTGTAAAAAAAATATTGATGGTTTAACTTAAAAAAGTAAGTAACCTGGTTGCCTTAAAATTTTAAGTTCATTGAACTGGAAAAAGTGAGTTAATACAATGAAGGAGATTAATTTAACCATCAGAAACTCAAAATAATAAGTTATCTCAACTAAATAAATTATTATAAAGTTTATTTGACAAAAGAAAATATGTTGTGATAACAAATCTTGAAAATATTTTTTACAGTGTAGCTCATGAAATGGACAAAAGTTTACCTTTTGAAAAGATACAGCCCCAGTGACAGCTTTTGTATACCTTTTTTTCTGAGAGTGTACAAATTCTGAGCTAACTGGTTTTTCACAAAATGTATTTAATATTTGATTATTTTCAGTATTGATAATCACATTTCAACTTAAAATTAGAGTGGCTTATAATGACAAAGGTAAAAACATGAGATCAAAAATACTTGGCAGAAGAGTTTGACATTGACTTCACTTTGACATTCAGACCTTTCTAAGCCCAGAAATATTCCCAAAAATGACCAAATGAGTCAATCATGATCACATAACTGTTACTAAGAAAATCTAAAATCAGTTTGTGCAATATACAGAAGTTTGAACTGTTCTTTTTTATCTTGTGCATCTGCTTACAATATCAGAATCATATCCATGAACCAGGAGGACTGCAATCATGAGATAAAGAATAATAAAAAGATTTTTTATTGTATTTTCAATGCTCAATTTGTTCAGTTTAGTCTTCAGTTTTTTTTTTTTTTTTTTTTTTTTTGCTTTTTTCAGTTCCACCATCTTGAATGTGCTCTGTGTCCCGGGGTGGTAAAGTTTTCAGAACGCATCATGTTGAGGAGTCTTCATTCGCCCACAGATTTTCACTTGATTAAACACAAAATCCCATTGCACAGCATGTGCAGGACATCCCAGCCTCAGGCCACTCCATGGTCCATTTATTCCTTATGAACCAGAACTGAGATAACCTGCATAAAACATGACATTTAAACTCAAAAGTTCACCTCTGCCTTGCACATTTCCAAGCCTTACTTCTGAAACCCATCTTCAAAAGATGTATGCAAACATACATAACATGTAAGGCTATAATCTATAGAGTTATTAGGAAATTGAGACATTTTTGTTCTCCTTTGCCTGTATAAATCATGCATGAAATGAAAGAGTTATTAACATTTTTTTTTTATAACAGAATAAAGTACAGTACTAAGAGAACATCTTAGAATCTGATTATCCATCAGAGAAAATCAACCTATTTCTCAAAGCACAATTCTCCTCAATTCCTCAATAACCTGAATTCACAAAAAGCATAAAAATATACTTCAATTTTCTTCAGTTCATAGCCTATGTCTGATGGACGATGTATTTCAGGTTCTTTCAGCAAATGGCCTTACTAACAGGGTTTACAGACCTAAGATGTTGAATCTGCACTTGTCTTTGTAAATAGGCTGTATAAATGTTTATTTTCTTCGAAATATTCATGAATGATGAGTGTTGCCAAAATAAATGTTGTCTAATGCAAAATTTAATTTGACATTTTAGCATCTTTTGTCATGCTCACTTTTGTTGTTGCATTCACCCATGTTGTTAGGTTACAAATTCTATGGTGCGTGCGTGCGTGTGTGTCTTGTCTGCTATAGTGCTCAGGGAATGTGCCCTGCAGTGTCCCTGTCTGCTTCATAATGTCGCTTCACTAGTTGCCAACCTCCAACAGCTGTCACGGTTTTCTCTCTCAGACACAGCTATTGGTAAAAGGTGCCCTTTTGTGTTGATGTAGACCTTGCTCATCCAATTAAAAATCCTAACCTTGACCTTCAGAAGATGAGTGGAAACATTCATCCACTGCTCGTTCAGACGCCCTGTCACTTCCATCGAGAAATGACTGTCTAGCTCCCCCTTGCGGCAATCATACTACATCGCAATAGGCTGATGAACGTTTCTGTGCAAGTGCAATCATTGTCACACAAAGACTTTTTAAAATGTAATATATTTTTACTTGAGCGCTACGAAAGAAGTAAGACGGGTGAAGGGTCAAACGCTTTCGTCTAGAGCATGTTTACATAAAACATTACTGGAAAAGCAGCGAAGTGGAATGAAAAAAAACAAAACAAAAACGTTCTATATGTGAACTATATACACTCACCTAAAGGATTATTAGGAACACCATACTAATACTGTGTTTGACCCCCTTTCACCTTCAGAACTGCCTTAATTCTACGTGGCATTGATTCAACAAGGAGCTGAAAGCACGAAGATCACGTTCCACCACATACCAAAGATGCTCTATTGGGTTGAGATTTGGTGATTGTGGGGGCTATTTTAGTACAGTGAACTCATTGTCATGTTAAAGAAACCAAGTTGAAATGATTCAAGCTTTGTGACATGGTGCATTATCCTTCTGGAAGTAACCATGAGTGGATGAGTACACGGTGGCCATAAAGGGATGTACATGGTCAGAAACAATGCTCAAGTAGGTTGTGGCATTTAAAGGATGCCCAATTGGCACTAAGGGGCCTAAAGTGTGCCAAGAAAACATCCCCCATACCATTACACCACCACCCCCACCCTGCACAGTGGTAACAAGACATGATGGATCCATGTTCTCATTCTGTTTACGCCAAATTCTGACAGAAATCTCATCAGAGACTCATCAGACCAGGCAACATTTTGACACTCTTCAACTGTCCAATTTTGGTGAGCACACCCCTAAATGCATTGAAGCACCTGCCATATGATTGGTTGATTAGATAATTGCATTAATGAGAAATTGAACAGGTGTTCCTAATAATCCTTTAAGTGAGTGTATATAGTAGCTATAGCTACCCATCTACCCATGTGGTCCAGATCAAATCTTTACCAACCCGCCCATTGGGAAAATAATCTGTTTTGAGAAAAGCGTTTCATTAAACTATTCATCAGAATGATGCGACAACCCAGCTAATGGGGAACGTTCTCCGAATTTTGGCTAAGGTCTTTAGAATTATGAACCAAAAAAAAAAAAAACTTCCACTAACGTTAATAGAATGTTTGTTCAAGTTATCTTTCTTTAATAATATTAACGTTCCCATAACCAAGAAAAAAGTTTTTTTTTTTTTTTTAAACATTCAAAACCCATGCAGTTTTGAATGTTCAGAGAACATGAACAATATGAACATTAGCATATTTGGTTAGCAGTGAAGTGTGTCTTCTGCTGGGAATTGAATTTGACGTTTTACATGTACATGAAAACGTAGTTTGGAAAGTCATTCTAATGATTTTCTGCAGTATTAAGGTCTCATGAATACTGACTGAATATTAGATCTGCAACCTCTGCAAAATGGAATCCGGAGAACAGAAATGGACTGTAGGTGGATTGCATCTGCCTTTTATCTACCGTTTCATTCATCTACTATTTATCTCTCCCTTCTGTGTTAGCAAAAG